AACACCTCAGCAGTGCCACAGGCTGATTGCCTCCATGCCACGCCGCATTGAAGCAGTCATTCATGCAAAAGGATTCCCGACCAAGTATTGAGTGCATAACTGAACATGATTATTTGAAGGTTGGTGTTTTTTGTATTAAAAACACTTGTCTTTCATTGGTGGGATGAAATATGTTAATTTTTTGGGACAGGCATTTTGGGTTTTCATGAGCTGTATGCCATAATCATCAGTATTAAAACAATTAAAGACCTGAAATATTTCAGTTGGTGTGCAATGAATCTGAAATATATGAAAGTTTCATTTTTATCATTACATTATGGAAAATAATGACCTTTATCACAATATGCTAATTTTTTGAGAAGGACCTGTAGTTTTGGCTGTCAACAACAAAGTGGTGTGACTGAGTTTGTTGCAGCTCCTCAGATTGAAGAGTATTTTGTATAAAAGAGGAAACGTTTCAACAAAGAAGAATCCATCCAGAGGACCTGACTCAACCTTGTTACATAGAAATGTGAGGTTTTGGCAAAAACAGATTCAGTGTTTATCAAATGCAAAATACCAGGATTGTTTCTTGCATGATGTATTTTTTTTTTTGTTTAGAAATGGCAGCATGTCCAGAGGTTCAGTGTGTCCATTACGTTCTGCAACGGGAAATCTTACAAAGTCTTCACCAGCAGGATCTCATTAAAGCCTGTGACATTGCTCTTCAGGTCTGGCTGCCTGTCAGCATACAGAAGTGGAGATCGCTGGTAGTGCAGCTTTACGGATCCCTGTGTGGAAGAAGAAAACAGCATGACAAAACTTCACGAGTGAAATGTTAAATATTTTCCTGAACGTGTGTAAATGTGTCCTCACTCTGGGTTGAGCACGTATAGAGGCGAGCCCCTGCTGGTACTGATTGGTCTCCACCTTGTACTCCCCTCTCCTGGATGGCAGGTTGAGGGAGGCCATGACAGACAGAACCTTCTGGAAGCCTGTTGCTGTCAGAGAAACCGTCACGGATGGGGCCCCGGCCAGAGCAAGGCCCATGGGCCACCCAAGCACCGTGACGGGCTCCTGAATAGTGGAGAGCTGCACTGAGCCATACTCCCAAACAACATGGTTCAGTTCTGGGACATCTTCTGATATGAGGTCCTCTGCATCATCAAGTTCTGATTCAGCCAAGGAGTTCAACAGCGCCTGTGGAGATGATAATGATGTATTAACTGCATGTAAAGAATGAGCAAGACGTCATGCAGAATGTTAGATGGTAGTTCTAAGTCTCACCCTCCACTTCTTCCAGGTCTTCTGGATCACTGCAGCTGCTCGGTTCCATCTCTGGATCTGCTTCCTGACCAGCCAGGACCTCACCGCTGCAGGGATTAAACACATTTACCTGTTCACGACTAACTGAGCCAAGCATCGAGCATTTAAGAACAAACAGTTAGGTCATGAGAAGTTAGTGAGTGCAGTAGATTCTGTTTCTGGACACACAGACGGTGTGTTCTGACACCAGCAGCTGGTTCGTGTTGGCTAGGAACCAGGTCAAAAGTTCAAAACCAGGAGACTGTAGGATCAAGGCCATGCAGCTTTTTAGTTCCACTCAGCAGCTCCTGATCTTAGTATTAATGGTTTACCTGCTTGGATCAAAGTAGCAGACCGCCTGCGAGCGAGGCGTTTACGGCACTGATACCGCAGCCAGCAGCACTGAATGGAGAAGGCATGCTGGGACATGATCTTCTTCCTCTGATCCTCCAGCAAATCCAGCTGCAAGACGAGTCAGACGGGTCAGCTCAAAGTGATTCAAAATATGACCAAACAAAACAAAAATAAAATCTTCATCAATTTCAGACGATTTCTCTGTGATATTTGTACTTCATTACTGACCATGGTCTGAGTGAGAAAGACTTTAGTATTTCCACAGTGGACCAGTGAGCTGCGATCGTCACGGGACAAGTGATGGAGCACAACACTGAGGACCTTTTCCACCTCCTGATGAATATTATCATCCTCCAAACCTGAGACAGAGGTAACCAGGAGTTACAGAAACATTGGAAGACAAATTCATACAATGACTGATCAGCACTAAAAGTGTCTGAGGACTCTAACAGAATGTTTTACAGCGTGCTTAAAGGTTTGGTGGATTTAGCTCAACAGCATTAAAACAGTCTAAACAATTTTCAATTCAGTTGATTTCTATAGCGCCGAGTCACAACAGAAAAGCATTCACATAATTTATAAATGTCACTTGGTAAAAGTTATCCATCTAATGAAGCCAGCAGATTGTGTTGAATCTTCATCAGTCTCCCATCCTGAACAAGCACAAAGGCAACAGTGGAAAGGAAAAACTCCCTTTTAACAGGAAGAAACCTCCAGCAGAACCAGGCTCAGGCTTCAACTGACTGGGGGATTCCTGGTCCTGGGAATTTTGTGTACAATAACTTAAAACATGGTGAATTCAAAGAAAATGCAGCGATGATGAAAAAAAAAAAAAAGCCTAAAGAAAAATGAAAAAGTTAAAAACACAAATAAACTGAACACAAAGCAGCAATAAGCATGTGTAAGTTACACTATTATTATGATGTGTTGGAGCGCGTGTGATTTTTAGCCACTTAATTGTGTTAAACAGCGCTGATGTTGAGAAAACATTTGAAATATTTTGAAATGTAGTTTGTGAAACGTTAACATCTTACCTGTTGTAAATAGATATTTAAACTCAGCTTTAAAATACAGTTTACATTCAACAAGACTGACAACTTTGGACAAACCATTATTAGCTTGTTAATACAATCCAACTAGATCAGATTTCAACTCAAATAATCTGAATTCCACAGCAGAGCATGCAATGCTACAACTTAAACCTTTTAAATGCTGAAGAGTTCACATTTCACTTTTATTTTAGCAGAAATATTAAGAAATTCCCAACAGGATTGCTCTCAGGCTGCATCAGAAAAGCTACAGCTAGCTGTTGCTGTTTCTCCTATTGGTGTTAGCAAATAATGACAGAATTTTATGAAAGACATCCTACATGTGCAGAGTCTATGAAAGAGTGTCTACATTTACTGTTGTGGAGACTGGTTATTTTAAGATGACAACAACCCACTGTGATCTGCTTTTAGACTAGCCATTAGTTCATCAATCCGGTCAAATTTAATATCTGTTTATTCAAACTAAGGCCACTCCAAGAAGTATCTACTACGGATTATCATTTAAGTAAAATATTCTTCAACTTTACTGGTAATTATCCCCCTTTTTTTTCCAAAGATAAATATGTATATACCGGTATTTATATTTTCTTTTAGGGGGATGAAGTGGGCAGTAAGTGTGTTGAAAAAAGTACACAAAATGGAGAAGGAAAATACTGCTCATCCCTACCATCTTCAACAGGTAAGAAACTCATTGCTTATAACTTTTACACACTTCAAAATGTCTGAATTACTTATTTAAGCAAGATTATCTAGGTCTAACAGACATATGATATGCATAGCACTTGAACTTATATTAAATGAAAAGTGTTAAATGTTATTTACTAGCATTAGTCTCCCGTGATGCTGTCTTACTTGTGAAGGCTTGTTAATGTTGACTAGTTTGTAAAGCCTGACCTTTCCTGTCAATATCCTGATACATGCTCAATAATCCAGGTAGAAAAATCCAAAAAAGTTCAATCTGGTCCTCTGGACATTCAAAAAACAAGAAAAAAAAAAAAAAAAAAAGCAAAAAAAAAATGTAGAAACGTTTCGTCTCTCATCCGAGAGACTTCCTCAGTCTGAGGTGCTGTTTTCAGCTCAGTCTCTTAAATATCACCTTCTCAGAGTGGATCAACCATTTTGCTGCTGACAACCAAAACCAGCTGCTCAGATGGTCAAGAAGGACCATCAGCCTAACAATGGATCATTAGCACACTGATGGCTGTTTACTATTCACAGGGGGTTGAGTGATACTAGCAATCACAGCATTGTAAGAGGGGGACAGTTGAACCCGGAGGCCTCCACCCCTGTTTAACGATGGACGGTTTCTTTTCACAAAGATGGCCTCCTTTACTCCTCTCTCAAACCATCGTTCCTCTCTGTCCAGGATGTGAACATCTTCATCCCTGAAAGAGTGACCGCTGGCCTGGAGATGAGTGTAGACCGCAGAATCCTGGCCTGATGATGTTGATCTTCTGTGCTGAGCCATACTTTTGGCCAGTGGCTGTTTAGTTTCCCCGATGTAAGACTGATCACAGCCCTCCTGACACTGAACAGCATACACAATATTACTCTGTTTGTGCCAGGGGACTGGATCTTTGGGATGAACCAGTCTTTGCCATAATGTATTTTGGGGTTTAAAAGCCACTGGGACGTTATGTTTAGAAAATAAACGTCTCAGTTCTATTTCGTATAGGCTTCGCCCTTTAAGAGCTTTCGCTTAGTGGGTTTATCCCGTTATGCGGAGCATTAGCACTGAAAAAAATTTAGTCCACGCCCACCTGCTGTGTGGGCCCCACCCGGTCCGTATAAATTACGTTAAGAGCGGGAAATCGGCTCCCATTTTTTCTTCAGCGAGCTAAAATAGCACTGTCAGAAGAACAAAGAAGGAAAATAGTGTAGATGACCAACCATTGTTAAGGATGCTTGGCCCGGCAGTCGACCTCCGGTCGTCCGGTGAGTTCTCCTCCCCGAGGAGAAGCTGACAAGCAGTCTTATTTCAAGGTAAGCGCCGAGGAATATTTCCCAGTGACAGGTCACTACACGCTGGACAACGCCATCTTGTATTTTTCCTCTTATCGCCGACCCTCGGAGTGAATCGGATGGTTCCTCCGGGACAGGCGTGCTCAGCTGCAGCCCCCGCTGCTCATTCCCTCCTGGGGAGCGTAGTGTTGGTGGAGGGGGGCTGAGTGAATGCTCACCCCATCCCACCTCGTTTCGCATTGGCGATCACACCGCTCCCGGCCGACGGCGCCCTCAGGGGTTGCCCGGCGTAACCCAGGAGGCGGCTGACATGAAAGGACCCTTTTTTACGTCCTACGCCTTTCCCGCCAGTTCGGATGATCCGGCGGGAAGGTTGTTTACTGGGCTCCATTCCGGCTCACCGTCTTGATCCATATGGCCTCGTGCTCCCAACAGGACGTCCTACGGGCGAGGCCACAGATGGGTTCTTTCCTGGTAGATTGGGGGAGCCGGTCTCCACAGTCCGCACCCATCGCCAGAGCAGGGGTTCACTGAGCGGAAAGTCCCTCCGTGCCCTCTGGAGCCGAGCCTGATGGAGGCTTCATTGGAGTAAGATGTTCGAGGTGGACCAGCGTCTCGTGCCTCCGGTTAGCATAACCGAGACGGTGACACCGCTCTCCAACTGAGCTCACCAGCATGTGTTCCACACGGCCGCAGCAAACAACACGTTACGCTGTTGGCGTACACGTTCAGGGGCGGGAAGAGACGGTGGCCCTCTGTCCTTCGGCTCACTCCGCTCTCGTAGCGGCTGCTTGCTAACGACGCTGCCAGCCCCTGCAGTACGCTCAGTCTACAGGTCAGCTGACGTCATCCTCAACCGGTGCGCCTCTTTTGCTGTCTGCCGCCCCGCATTGCAGCCTGAGAACGAGGTCCCAGAGGTTCTCCTGGCTCGTCACTCCACCTTCCTCTCAGGAGAGATGCAGGAGTCTGTTGGTGATCCTCTTTTCATCAGCAAGAGATCATTTCAAGATGCTCCCCAGCTGCTCCACGGCTGCTTAACGCCTGCTCAACGCCTCCCCAGCTCTGCTACGCCAGCCCCTCCCGTCAGACGTCCCCGGCAGCCGGAAGTTCATTTGTTTTCCCGGACTTAGCCAACAGGGGGCCCTCCAGGACAACAAACAGAGCTCAACGGAAGGTAACTAGGTGGCCGGTCGCTGGAGGTGTGTTGATGACACTGTGAAATAACAATTTTATGATGAAGTGTCTCTTAGCCAGGCTGTCAGCATGATTTATCTGACAAGCGGCTCCATCACACACACACTCATCACGAATGAGCCTTTTTTAAGGTTGTTTTCATTCACTGTCAGCGGTGCCGATGCGCGCCCCCGCGGCATGAAAGCGCGCACGCAGCTCTCAGCGCCCGCCGTTCACGTCAACGTTCACGTGAGACCATGGTACGAGCTCAGCAACGTATCTCGCTCCCGGCAGAAGCGACACATGTTTTGTCATTGCAGTGGTGTCAAACACGCGCTCCCGCGGCGTTAGCAGTTTCACAAGCCTCACAGCGGCTCTGCTCCTTTATCCTCGAAGAAGGTTTTCTGAATTAATACTGCAGCTCGTGGAATCATTCTGAAGTTCACGTGACTTGCAGCCAAGAATGAACGGTTTTCTGCAGACCGAGCCAGGGGTAGCCTCGCTTCACCGATGCCGCGCGCTGCTTCCTGACCGCTCCAGTGCCAACGCGCGCTCCCGCGGCGTCAGCAGCCCCACAAGCCTCACAGTGTTAGGGTCTGTAGGTGATGTCAAAGGCGAACGGTTTGAAGCAAGGACTAAACAACTTGAGGTAAAAAAACAATGTTATTTATTGGTTCAGGTGTATCTGGTAAACTCAAACTCAGGATGGATCCACTGTGGGAATAGAGAGGAGATTGGTGGTGAATGACAAATCGTCTTGAGGAGATTTTGGAAATGTTGATAGTAATCCAAAAATAAGCTTACTTGTCGTTGTTGTTCCAGGAGCATGAGAACAGGAGACAGGATCCGAATCCAACAATCCACGGTGGGATCAGGTGAGTATATTTACAAGTGTATTTACAAAAATCACCAAGGGAGCCTGGGTGGAGGTGAGGAGGAACCAGGAACCAGGTGAGGCACACAGGAGTGAAGGTGGAGGAGGAGAAACGCTGCTGTCACGCAGGGAGACAGATAAGGAGCTTGAAGTCAGCCAGCCAGTAGTCACAGGAACATGGAGCTTGGTAGAACTTTGCTCTGGCACTGATCTGGAGTTAGGCTCCAGATTAAATAGCTCCTCCACCTGGTCCAGGTAATGAGCAGCAGCTGTGGAGAGATAATTAGGAAAACACAAACAACAGAGAAAGGAGGGGTAGAGGAGCCAAACTCTACAGTACCTCCCCCCAAACGATCGTCTCAGTACGATGACATCATCCGTTTCTCTGGATGGTCTTGAAAAAACGCCTCTATCATCCCGGGGTCCAGGATGAAAGACCTCGGGATCCATGACCTGTCTTCAGGTCCATAACCTTCCCAATGGACCAGGAACTGAAAACCCCTACCCCGTCTTCTGGAATCCAGGATACGGTTGATCCTATATGCCGGGTGGTTGTCGATCAAAAGGGGGGCTGGGGGGGGAGCTGGTGGGAGGGTTGAGCGGGCTGACTGATACTGGTTTTAAGTTAGAAACGTGGAAAGTTGGATGGATCCTCATGGATGGTGGTAACTTGAGCCTGACTGCAGAGGGGTTTATGATCTTGTCAATAGTGTAGGGGCCAATGTACCTGGGGGCCATTTTGCAAGAGGTGTCCTTTAGACGGATGTCCCTGGTGGAGAGCCATACTGATTGGCCCACCTTGTAGTCCGGGGCTTTAGAGCGGTGTTTGTCAGCTGATTCCTTGTTCCGTCCGGCAGTCCTTGACAGTGCCTCTCTAGCCTGAATCCAAACTGTCCTGCATCGGTCCATGTGATCCTTGACAGACGGAACCAGGATTTCAGTCTCCAACAGAGGAAATAGGGGGGGCGTGTATCCAAGAGAAACCTC